TTTGGTATACAAAGCAACACAACACATCAAATGATACGTAAAGGTTCCTGCCTCATATATATATATATGCATGCTTGTGTAACGTAATATAGTGCTGAAACGTCGGCATTAGATAACAGCACAAAGAACAAACTGAAACGGTATGAAACAACCAAAACATGATACAGCGGATAAATAGTCCAATACGTATTGGATAGCATCTACTTGCTGTTATATTGCATTACATGTTATCTTTGAGTGTATTTTACTTCGGTAACATTTTACTCAACTGCCTGTATGCTATATCATACTTTACAATATCATGTTATATGTAACAATAAGTATTAGTGTAAGATAAGATGCCAGTAGGATGAGAGCTTTGTGTGTATGTGCACCAGTGCAAGCGTGAATGTGTGCATAGTGCCTGAGCTCAGCCTCTGCACGAGTTGAAGAATAGCTTAGCCAAGAACGGCGCATGCTTGCTCGACTGCGGGGCCGGTTCACTTTAACTTCAGAGCAGAATTGTCAGTTTTGCCGTTGTGTGATGGTGGAATTGTTGTCCTACGGCCAAACCTGTCCGAAGGTATCCGAAACAAAGCAACAATGGCAGGTTGTACCAGCACCAACCTGCATGGAAGTCTGCCTTTACCCGTGTCAACCTCTGAGGAGTGCTACAATTGTTACAACTCTCGTGTTGCTGTATCCATATGAAGAACAAATGTGGGGGCTGACTCAGATAGCGGCTCACCAGCCTTGCCAGGTTGGGGCGTCCTCGGCAGATGTTGAGCCTGCATGGAGCTCCAAGCACCGTACAGCTACAGCGTTGCCTGCGCATGCACCAAAGATTCGCTTTGCCTTGCTGCGCCGATGTGGCCAGTGAGAAGCACTGCTTCAAATCAAGCAGCAACGAGGACGCAAGCTGCGGCACCTGGCACACTCAAGTTTTTCCTAAGAGTGGTTCCAGAATCTTTAGACATGCATGAGTGCTACTATCTTCAACTAAAGTAGGAAAGGGGAGGATTCTGCAGAACAATGAGAGAATGGAAGCGCTGGCCTGACTGTAGCCGGCATCTGCAAGACGACCACGCAGGTGCTCTAGCAAGTTCAGGTATGTGACTCTACCTTGTGAGGCATCCATTGCCTCAATGAAGGCAGAAGTAAGGGCGCCGCCAGCGGAGGTCCGACTGACCCTGAGGTGACCACCGCCTTGAGATGGCTTTAAATCAAACTCGGAGTGAACATCTCCAACGTCTGCACTCGTTTGGTCTGATGCACATCCTGTAATGGCGATGACTTCACCAACTGCCCGCCCAATGTTGTTCGGCTCATCTGCACAGAAACCGTTCTGATTGGAAGAGGTTGCGGTTTTGTATCGTCGCCACATGTCCCACAGACCCATACCCATAGAAGCCACATCGGCAAGGAATGCGGTGGGATCCTCCGCGACTTCCCAGCGCTCTAAATCTCTGAGCCAACTCTTGGACATTGCCATCTGCACGGCCTGGGACAGAAATTTGCAACTCTTCAGTACCACAGGAGCTACATCCGCAACTAATTATCCGACAAAGGCGCACAAGACAACTCGCTACTCACTACTCAGATGGCATTGTGAATTATCCTTAGCATCGCAGCGGGCCTCCCCAGCCAAAGCCTTCTTGATGTTCTCGGGCGTGCCCATGAAGATGTATGGCAAGTCAAGAGCTCCCGCACTGTGGCAAGCATCGAGTATGCAGGTCAAACGGCATCCGCTTGGCAACGGTTGGACGAGGCTAGCAAAAAGCTCGCTGTCCAGGAGCATTCCTGCTTCATCCATGTCCACAGGGCACAATGTTTCATGCCAGTCACCTCTCCCATCTGCTCGTGGCATGCGTCCACCATGACCGGAGTAATGCAAGAAAAATGTATCTCCGGCTTGGGCCCCGGCGACCAGCCAAGAAATTCCGGCCCTGATATTTGCTAGCGTAGGTCTGCGGTCCATTCGCCACTCCGGAGAATCCAGGAGAATGCGACAGCTGCTGTCATCCTCCGCATGCGGAAATCCCAACTGCTCCAACACCGGTAGCATGCGATGCACGTCATCCACACAACCATGGAGCTCGTTCTGTGAGCCATAGTAGTTGATGCCTATCAACAAACATTTTTTTCGACCGGGCTCGGCTGCTTTCGTGTCGACTTCGGTGGCACTGGATCCTGGCGGTCTTGGGGCATTGCAGTTATTGCATTGCTCTCGCACGGCCTTGTTCGGCTCCTCGCACGCTGAGCAAGTCCAGTGGGAAGGCTGTTCGGACTTCTGTGTGAGGGCACTCTGTGGTTCGAATCCTTGTGAATGAACCTGCGGAGTGTCAGCAAGCGGCCGGCTTATTTGCACTGGGGTAAGATCCTTCGCATTTGAAGTGCCTCCGACATTGAAGGACCCAGCGCTCTCAGCAAGTCTTGCTTCTGTGCGGAGCATACCGGGCCTGTGCTCCAGGTCTGCAGCCATCTGCACCGTATGAGATATCACTTTGCATGGTGGCAGCTGCAAATCAACTAAAGACTCCTGCTCTGGTACAATTCTTTCAACGTAGGTGGCAGGAACGTGGCTCCACATCTCCGGAGCATCTTTGGCTGAAGCTTGCCAAAAGCGGTCATCGGCAGAAGCCAGCTTGTCATTTGCAGCCCCCATTGCTACCCGCCGAATGTCACTACCGGATGCCTCAGATCCCGCAGCTGAAGTCATGGCCAAGAAAGCCATGGAGGCGCCACTTGCTTGAATTGCCGTCACCGACATGTGAAGTCTCTCTTCCCTGAATGTTCTTGCTAACCTCTATTCCGCCCCTGCAGTGGCCTGACGGTTTCCGCCCCAGAAACCGAAATACAGTTCAAGCAACACCAACGGATCCGTGGATTCACACAGATTCACACCCCAGCCAGGCACGCGCTTTAAGCGACATTATCATTCAGGAAAAAACATGACGAAGCCTCACTGGGCAAGAGGGTTAAACATCTGCTCCAAACGCGGGCAGCAGCGCATAGCTAGATGCTACTGGGTGCTGCCCAGCCGATCAAAAAAGAGACTCCAGTAGCCACACTTCTTGTGTCGAAGCCCCTCAGGCGGCAGCTGGCAGCAGCAGCAGAACAGACACTTCCTGTTGGAAACCTCCAAGGAAAGCACGGATGGAAGACGAAGGGGAGAGCGAAGCAGGGATGGCGACCTCGAGAAGGCAGCGATTCTCCTGTCCACCCGACACAGTGGTTTCAACGGGGCCACAGGGAAGAGAGCTTCCTAGTGCCTCGTCGCAACCACGCAGGCGACCCCGGTCCCGAGAGAAGAATCCAATGCGGCCAATGCGACAGAAGCCGCATGCACGCGCAGTGAGGTACGCTTCCCGTTTGCCGTCGTGATGTGATCGTGGCTAGCTGCAGATATTCTGTGATGCTTTTGCTTCGGGGCTCCATTGGACTTGCCCGGCAATGCCCGGCCAGCAGCCGCTACGCAGCCATGCACGTGGCACCAGGCCACGCAGTCATGCACTCCTACACGTCCGGATGAACTATCCACTGCAGGGAACCCTCCGCAAATGAGGCACTGTGCCGGCACGCAGGCATACGCAGGCCAAAGATGAGGGCGACGCACAGCTACAGAAGGTTCCGGGTGCAAAGCACCTTTCCAAAAGGCGTTCAAAAGCTTCTGCCATCGTCAGTGCCGTGTCATCATGCCGCACACCCGGCCGTGTCTGCACCCCCTCGCGATGACTCAACAATACAGAGAACAGAAGAACTGGTCGGAAGATTTGGGAAGCCTTTGAAAGCTGATGTTTGGTCTTTCGCAAAGCGGCAAAGTGCCACCGACAGAGCAAGGCATCCTTCTTTTTTCAAGCGAGAGAGCCACAGTAAGGAGGATGAAAGCCAGGGCAAGTAAGGCACTGAAGATTCTCGCAAGACTGATGTACTTGAATCTGCGTAACCGACAGTAGGCGTGACACTTTCATTGGCAACAGCCTGATGTTTCTTCGCACTTATTTTTTGTCGGGGTGTCCATGGGCTTGTCCCGGCACAAATCATGCTTGATGATGGCCGTTAGACTAGTGAGACATGTGGCCAGCTGCCGAGCACTCTTTGGAGCTGGCCCTTGCTGCAATTACATAACATGATTTACAATTAATTCGTTTATCAACTCCTCGAACTCGGCAGGCACGTCGTTCCCAGATCGAATCGACTCATGTAGCATGTTCACTGCTTTGTTGTGGGCCAGTCGCTTTTCATCATCTTCCCCCAAATCGTATATCAGGCGGCGATCTGACTCACTCGACTCTGCAGCCCTCGACCGCAACGCCGACTGCAAGACATGTGCAGGAACTTCAGCCGCATGACACTCTTCAAGGGCTGCGCGCAGCAGGTCGATGGGACAGTCCTGTTGTGGCAGGTGTGCAAGGATGCAGCTTTCGGTGACCCTCCGTCACAGACCCTCACGAGACCCACCTTTTAAAAATGTGCTGGCAACATGCAAACCGTCTGCGGGCCTTGATGGCAGCCTCTATGCCGGACATGTTCTTGCAATCGATGGAGAATCGCACCGTTGCTAGCCTCAGTCTTGCCAGGGCTCAAGGAGGGCCCCCCCTGATCAGGTGTTTCGAAACTCCAGATACAGAAATTGCAGCTGGTGAAGCATGCGCTCGATGCTCTCCTTAGCAAGCAGGGCCTCGTTCAAATCCTGATCTGGAAGACCATTTGATTGACACTCTTCGATCGCAGCTTTTAGAACTCGGATGTCCATGAGCTGGACGGCCACCCCAAGCTTTGCCAAAATCTGCTCAACTCGCCGCTTCATGGCCATGGCCTCGTCCAAGTCCGCGCTCGGTGGCAGGCCAGCTTCATGGTGCTTCAGCAGTGCACTCTTCAGAGACTCCATGTCTCGGCTCTCAGTCGCACGAGACAATGATGACAGGATCTCTTCGATGCTTGCCTTCGTGCTTATGGCCTCCTCCATCTCTGCGTCTGGGATACCATATTCCCGGCAAGCACTGATGGCCTGCCGAAGTGTCTCGATTTTCCTGTTCGACATGCCTTGCTGTAGGTGTGCAAAAAGGCGTTCGAGTTCATCCAACATTCCCCGAGCATCTTCCGTGTACATGTCAGGCACACCCATGGCCTCACAACTTCGAATTGCAGTCCGAGTGCCATCAGCATTCCGCTGCTTCATGGCCAAGTGCAGACCAGCAAGCACATCGTCCAGCTTGCACTTCAGTGAGACTGCATCTGTAACGACGTCCGTCGGAGGCAACTCGGCATCCCGACAAAGCTTGATAGCGACCTCCAATGCTGTAGGATCCCTTGCATCCGTGGCCGCCTTCACCTGCACAAATAGCTTTTCGATCCTTGCCTTCATCTGCCTAGCTTCTGCTAGTTCCTCTGCTTTCAATCCAAAGTCTTCGGAATGTCGCAGAGCAGTATCGATACCAGCCAAATCCCGAGCATCAACACCTTGGCATCGCGGGAGACCCTTGGTATGGGTACGAGCTTGATACAACATGGTACAAGTAGGCCGTTCAAAACATATACAACTTGCCGACGTAGCTTCTCTGCCGCAAAGACTTTATCATGTCATCCATTTTGCTCTTGCACTTCTGGGCTTGTGTCAGCTCGCCACAATGCAAACCGAATGCAAGGCAGTCCTGGATTGACTTGTTGACGAAGTGGTAGTCTTTAGAGTCCATCGCCGCCTTGACATCTTCTTGAAGAGCGACGATTGTGCGCTTCACATGCAAGGCCTTGCCAAGGTGCTATCAGGCACGAAAGTTCTTGCGGACACCCTTCCATCAGCTGTGCTTCCCGAAGTGCCCCCGCACCCATGGTTGAAAACTAGAACTAGCACGAAGGTGCACGAACCACTCAGGTTACTTTGCCCGAAACCCGAAGATCATCCCGGCCTCTTCAAGATACTTGTCAGGTATGCTCTGCATCATGCATTCTTGGAGGGCTGTCTCCAGTGTGTTGACATCTCTGGCGCATGACGCAGAGGCTAGATGGTCCACAAGCAACTGTACCCTTGCATGCTGCGCGATTGCATCCTCGAGGTATGCTGATGGTATGCCTGTCTGCTGGCATTCCCGGAGACTCATGTCCATGTTCGAGAGGTCTTTGGTTCGAACTGCTTCCTGCAATTTGGTCAGCAACGCCTCCAACTCTTGCAATCGACATGTCCCTTGGTGAAGATAGCTTGATGGGATGCTGACTGTGCTGCACCTCTGTATGGCCATTCGGATCTGTTCAACATCGCTGCAATCCATGGCCATCTCGAGGTCCTGCGGCACATGCAGCTACGAGTACGAGTTTGGGCAGGCCAGGTCAGTCAGTCCTTAAGCAAACCGTTGATGTACTCCCGTGTCGCAAAAGCTTCTGCCAGCTGTGAGGGCTCCATCTTCAGTGCCTATACAGGACATCGCATGAAACCTGCCGCCATGTACTTACGAGAAAATAAGTTGCTTATTATCTCCCTGCCGAAGTTGTCGGCCTGTCCGGCGTGGATGACATCATTGAGCTTGCCCAAATCTTTCTCTGCAATTGCGGTCTTTAGGGACACCAAGAAGCTCTCCCATGCATCTCGCCTGGCTCGTGCGTCGGACAAATCTCGACCAGGTATCCCGAAATTTTCGCATTCGCGAATCAAAGAGCACAAGTGGTGCAGGTCAGTGCCAGAAGTCGCCTTGAACAGCCTGGCCAGTAAACCTTCAATGATCTCTTTAGTGGCCATGGCCTCTTGCAAAGCCTCGCTTGGCCAACCTTCTTTCTCGCATTCCTCAATTGCTTGGCGTAGGGCAAGAATGTCAAGGGATGCCAAGCCGTGGTTTATCTTCTCTGTCAGTTGGTGCATTCTGTCACGCGCTTGAACTGCCTCTGCTAGGCTCGAAGTGGGTAGCAATGTGCTTATCTGGCCGATGGCCAGGTCCAGTTGAGCCACATCGAAAAGGCGAGCCACGGCTTGGAGGTAGTCTTTCATAAACACTTCAAGCTCATCATCTGGCAGACCAGCGAGCCAGCCCATCTCAACTGCCGGCAATATGCTACTTCGCGGCGTTTTTACGGCAACGGCCAACTTGTGCCTCGCAGATGCACGACCTGTAACGAATGGAGGAGCAGTTTCGGCAGTTGCAGGAGCGTTGGTCGTTTCATGTACCGCTGAGTTCTGACTAGCTATTGAACATCATTGAACGGAGGTTACTCAACCCTTGATCACTGCGAAGAAAAAGCCTTCCGGAGTTGCAGCGACCCGTCTCCGCAGCTGGAAGATGTGAAGTTCCAGGAGCTTGCAAGGTGGACTCCCGAATTCATCCGAAACAAGCGACTTCACCAGCGGGGTTGTTCTCAACTGAACTTTACATCCAAGCAGAACGCTGACTGCTAGAAGGCTCGTGGAGACCGCAGGTAATGAGCAGACTTCTGTAGGGATGTCTTCCAGCAGTATGACTGACAAGAGGCAGCACAAAGACACCGCAGCTGCCAGAGCGGGTCCGACATGCCAGGCTTTCGACAAATTTGACCTCAGCCTGCTGGGAAACTCCTGGAGTATTTCCTGTATGATGCTGTCGGAGTCAGCATCTGGAAAAACTCTCGATTGTCCCTTCTTCTGGCATCTATTCAGCTGCCTCAAGATGTCGTCCCGGGAATCTGAATCCGAAATGTTGAGCAAGTCAAAAAGTGCGCAAACGGCCTCGCATGCATCCAGGGTCAGCACAAAAA